TGCTTATAAGCCAAGTCCAAGCACCGCTGCTCCTCACATCCCCAGCCTGGACCAGACTGATCCTGCACACAAGAGCTGCGTCAGGAGACAGCCAAGTGAGACAGCATGAAGAACTTTTTGACCACAAGGGTGTGTATGACCTTGGTCCTAGGGAAGAAGTAGCCTGTTAGTGAGAACCAGAGGGGTTTTTGTTTTTGTTTTTTTTTTTAAAAGTAAGTTTTTTTGATCTGGAACATGTATGTTTGTGTGGGAGTGTGTGTCCCCGTTTGGGATGGATAAGGGTGGATGCTGTTTTGTCTGTATTTTGGAGGACAAGATGAGGTTGATCTAGTTAAAGGATCATAAGTGAGGGAGCACATTCCAGAACAGCCTACATACTACAGTGGAGAAAGGACCCATTTAAGGTTCTCAGATTGGTCCAGCGTCCCTGGGTCCCCTGTCTGGCTTTCCTGTAGTCAGTCCACTGTGAATGAGGAGACCCTGTTTGGAGGTCGCTTGTTGCAGCCCTGGGCAGCCTGTTTGTGGAGATGTTTTCCTGTCGCTGGCCCATGGCCCAGACTCACAAGGCAGGAGTGGCTGTTTCCCGCCCGCAGAGTTGGTGTGTAGTGGAGTTTGCGGATAGTGTGCAGTGTCGCACTTTGTTTTGGAAAAATCCAGGCTGGTGGGCAGGAAGGAGAGGGGAAGAGGTGTGGCTGGAGGAACTGAGTATAGGGGTGTGGGGGGCTGGTGGAGAGGTTTGGCCACAGCCCCCAGCGGAGATGTTAGAATGGGGATGGGCCCCTGACGTAGATTGTTGCCCAGCCTCAGGCTGCCTGGCATGGCCCCTAAGTATTCGCTTACAGACCCTCCTCTCAACTGTTTCCCCTGGGGACTGGGGCTCAGGAAACGACTTTTCTGGTTTTGTTGTTTTGTAGTGCTGGTCGAGTCGCTTCTGACCCATACTGGTCTAGAGCTGTGGTATTTGGTCTGTGGACTTCAGAGGAAGGCAGGACTCTGTCTACACAGCCGCTGCCCCAATCCTACCCCGCCCAAGTCCTTGGGCTCCGGCTTCTTGTTACATGAGGGGAAGAAGGGTGTGAATCACCAAACATGGGGTCATGGACATCAAGCCACTCAGAAAGTGTCTGATGGTGATCAGCTGCTAATGGCTTGTGAAGATCAGGCAGAAATAGTGGCTGACTCTGCAGTAAGGGGGAGAGTTAGAAACCAGGAGGAACTTCTTGATGCTGAGCATGAGACACTGGGTGTTTTCAGAAGGCTGTGAAATCATCTTTCATGGGTGTTGTTTCAGCAAAGGAGATACCGTGTTTTAATGAGGAGGACTAAGAGTTGGATCAGGAGTTCTGTTACTGCTCTCTGTTTGGGGAGGAGCTGTAAGGAAGTTCAAGGTCATGTGGATAAAGGATTTTGAGAGCCCCAAAGAGAAGAGTAGGGACAGATGTAGAGTGGAATCCCCAGGTGGTGCAAATGGCTAACACGTTGGTTGCTAACTAAGAAGTTGGAGGTTCAGGTCCATCCAGAATCTCCTTAGAAGAAAGGTCTGCCTTTCAAAAATCAGCCATCAAAAACCCCATGGAGCACAGTTCTACTCTGACACTCATGGGCACCACGACTTAGAGTCCACTCCACAGAAAGTGTTTTTTTTTTTTTTTTTTTTTTAGTAGGTGGATTGTTGATTTTCCCTCTTAAAAGAACAATCTTTGTAGTACTGTTTGTAAAGCCTCTACTAATTTTCCCTGGAGGTAGAAAGTGATGTGAGCCAAGCCCTCCCAATTTACAGATGGGTAAATGAGTTGGGCTACTAACCTCAAGGTCAGCAGTTCGAAACTACCAGAGGCTCCGTGAGAGAAAGATGAGGCTTTCTGCTCCCGTAAAGATTTACAGCCTCGGAAACACTATACAGGGTCACTATGGGTCAGAACTTACTCGACAGCACTCAACAACAACAACAAATGAGATATAGCGGTTATTTCTCACATGAAGTCTGTTGATGGGAATTTTCCTCAGTAGAATATCAGCTCTCTGAGGTCAGGGACTTCACCTCCTCTGTTCCTTGGTGCTTGGAACAGTGCTTGGTATGCAGGAGGCGTTTCTTAACGAACAGCTCAGTGAGGGAACCAGTGTGGTGGGTGATTGGTGGCCCAGAGATGCCTGGGTGTCTCCACTCACTCCCTCCACTCTTGAAAAGACATCTGTAATGCTGTTGGCTTTGCCAAGCGCCTGCCGCACCTCAGGTGTAAGGTCACTGGTATGTTTGTGAGCATTGGGTTGTGTGTGGTTTGTTTGTGCTCACGCCCATTCACTGTCCCAGTGGGCTGTACAGGGGGCCCGTATGCACCAACACTCGGACATGTTCCCTCCCGCCTGTCTGTCCTCTGCCAGCATGTATCACATGCCCGCAAACTTTGCAGAAAACAGGAAGCCCTGTGAGTTTGAGGGTAGCCCAGTGATTCATCAGGAGATGACAGTCCAGCTGTTGGTCCCCCTCCTCTGCAGCAGGGTCATTGTCCAGGGCAGCTTCCTCCCCCACCTTTCAAGCCCCAGCCAGCCTGGCGATGCAGAGGGAGCATGGACTTTGCCTTATCACCTTCGAAGTGGCATGGCCAGACTCTGTTGGGGCCAAGTTTTTATTTATCCTCCTGGCTTTTTGGGGTGGGGAGGCTAAGGAATGTGGTGTGTTGTAATGTTTGGAAGAGGTGGGGTGGTGGTGGTGGAGAAACAGGAGCCAGGTCTTTTGGCAGTTCATCCTCTTGCCCTGCATCTTTGGTGGCTCCCAGCCCTCGTTGGCTCCCCAGCTCCCTTGCCAAGTCCATCTCAATATGTCGTATGGTCTCCCTCCAATTCACTGCAGTGGGACCCATTCTTCTGGCCATGCTGCCAGTCTTGGCTTCACTTGTGGCTTCCAGTTGTTGGAAGCAGCTGTGGTGGCCTCCTCTGGAAGTGGATCAGCAACAGATGAAACCCCAGGGGCTATTAATAGCAGGGTGGCCCTAGGGCTTGAGCACAGCCTCGGGCTGGGGCGGTTCAGTGACTCCTCATCAGGGTCCAGGGAAATAGAGATGGATGAAGTGTTGGGTCTCTGTGGGCCTCTGGGTAGGGAGTTTTGGAACAGCTTGGTTTAGGGCTTGAAAACCAAACCCAGCCTCTCCTTGCCTTCCCCCACCCCTGGCCTGACTCATGCAAACCCAAGTTCTCCAGGCCACAGGAGCTGTGGACAAGGAGAAACTTTCCACCCAGACAGCCACTCTTGGTTGTTTCCTCTCCTCCCTGCTACTGCTGATGGGGGTCTGCGCCAGGAGGTTCTGGATTGAGAGTCCACAGCTTGCTGGGGCTGCGCTAACCCTGGGTGCAGCTGGGAGCCTGACCTCAGAGCCCACCTCCCCCACCTCGTAGGCACAGCAGGTCTAGGGCTGAAAGGAGTTCCTCTCTCCCCGGCATCCTGGCCATCAAGTGCCACATCTGACTGTGGGTCCTGCTTGATCAGCTTCCCAGGGAATTGGGGTGAGTCACTCCATGCCTCAGTTTTCCACCAAAAGATGACTGTGACTTGGCGCTCTGGGATTGGATTTTGGAGGCACAGGACGTCTGGAAGTGCTAATGGATGGGCTCAGAGGCCTGAGGCTGAGCCTGGGACTCTAGAAGTTGGGAGTCTTGATTCAACTTTGGCTGAGCTGGTTAAATGACTGCCTAGCTGCTGAGTGATGCAGGTGAATGTTTGGTTGGGTCTCTAAGTAGCTACTCTTTTATTAGCATTTGATGAACGGCAGCAGCAATAATGATGTTGTTGTTGTTAAGTACTGTGGAGTTGGTTCCGACTCATAGCGACCCTGTACAGCGTTTCCGAGGCTGTAAATCTTTACGGGAGCAGAAAGCCTCATCTTTGTCCCGCAGAACAGCCAGTAGTTTCAAATTGCTGACCTTGAGGTTAGCAGCCCGATTCGTAACCACTACACGATATCTGCTCTTAAATGCTGACTGTATGTCAGGCAAGGTCCCTGGGTGATGCAAACAGTTCACAAGTTTGTCTACTAATCAGAGGCACTTGGAAGAAAGGCCTGGCATTCTACTTCCAAAAAATTCTGCCATTGAAAACACTGTGGAGGATAGATTTCCTCTGACATGCATGGGGTTCACCAGGAGTTAGAGTAGACTTGAAGGTGACTGGGTTTTTTCTATGTCAGGTATTATGTGAAGGGTCTTGCCTGTGTACTTCCTTTAAATCCTCACAAAAATGCTATAAGGGTGCCCCCATCGTATGCCTGACGTTACAGAGGCTCAGAGAGGTTCTGTCACTCAAGAGGCAGCCCAGACTGTAGTCTGTGAACACCCGTCCCGGATTTCTTCACTGTTCACCTGAAGCCCTGCACGTTGTGGCCTTGAGGGGCCAAGGACTCCAACTGGGTCACTTTGCCTAGTTTTGTACACGTTGTCACTCCAGGAAATGAGAGCGGGTAACAGATGATGGGTCTTGGGTTCTTGGGAGTCACTGTCTCAGTCCGTATCTTGCACGATCTTTTCAAAGCCTTTGATGGAACAATCTGGTGGTGAATCTTTAATGAGGAGGCATGAGTGCGGGGTGATGGTGATCCAGGAAGGTTCAGAGCTGAACAGAAATGGACCATTCTCTCATCTTTTCTCTTTCTGTGGTCAAAGTGTCTGGTTTCTACCTGAGCTGCTATTATGAATGTGTCGCAGTCACTGAGCTGTTTACAGATGGCCCAGCTCAGATGGGCTTCATTATAGGCACTTGGGATTTCTTCCTTACCCAGGGGCTTACCCGCACACAAGCAAATTCATGCAGCACTGGCGTTGACTTTGGCTTTGGGTTGCGGTGTTGCTGGGGTCTAGGATACCTGGGACGGGATACTGGCAGAGATAGAAAAGAACCTGAGTTTGGTCACACCCTATATGCCCCATGAATAGCTCTTGGCTGTTCGAGTCCTGCCACTTGCCTGCCCCTCCCATAACACTGCCTCTCTTCTCTCTTTTCCCAGGGCTCCACCAGAATCACCCCGAGTATCCTGTCTCATCCGTTGCCCATCAGGTATGCCAGGAAGGGGTACAGACAATGGCTTAACATAAACCCTGGTAGGGTGTGGGTGACCACGAGAACCACAGTAGAGGGGACAGCTAGAGGCCATTGGGACATGGCCAGGCTCTCAGATCTCACTCGAAGCTTTGAGCTGGATTGAGGAGTCTTTGTTTCCCTGCGTGATCTCATTTAGTCCTGACAACAACCCCCCAATGCCAGTCTTTATCCCCATGTGGTACATGAGGAAGCTGAGTTTCAGAGAGGTGAGGTGACTTGGTAAAGACCACAGAACCGCTAAGAGGCAGCAGGAGGATTTGAATTCAGGAGTGGCTGGCATCAACACCTGTGCTAGATTCCATTCTCCTCAGTAGATGGGTTTCTGATGTTGGAGGGTCCTTTGTACAAAAAATGCACACGTGTATCTGAGTTGAAGGAGAAGGGACCCCTGGCTGATGCAGTCTGTCCCCCTCCACCCTGACCAGTTTCTCTGGCGTGGGTCCCCTCACTTTCTACTCTTTCAGTAACCACCTAACTCCTGAGATGAATGAGAATGTCAGTCCCATCTGGCTAGGGGAGGTGGAACCCAACTGGAAAGGGGCTCATGTGTCGTTGACCTAGGACTCCTGGCCAGCTTTCAGCAAACCAAGAGGCAGCACTTTAGAAGAACCCTACCTTCACTTACTCTTTTGTTGAGTCGGTTCCAACTCATGGCAACCCTGTATAGGGTGTCTGAGGAGCAGCTGGTGAGTTTGAATCACCGACCTTGTGGTTCAAATTGTCCAGTGCTTAACCTACAGCACCACACCAGGACCCCATTGACTTGGATGGGCACAATGTGTGATGCAGAGACTGTCCAGGTGGTGGCGCTGTTCTGCCATCTCATGCTCCCTAAGAACCCATTGAAGTGTGCAGAGTTCTGCCCTGTCTGATTCAGCCTCTCACTATGCTTTATGTTGACTCCTGGTCATCTCACTGCCCCTCCCATGATGAGGGAGATGCTGGAAAGATGAGATCAGCCAAAGACATTTCTGACACGCCAATGTCTTTTGCATCTCATTGTAAAGAAAACAAAAATCCTCACCACTGGACCAATAAACAACATTCTTATCAATGGAGAAAAGATTGAAGTTGTCAAAGGCTTCATTTTTCCTGGATCAATCATCAACCCTTATGGAAACAACAGTCAAGAAATCAAATGGCATATTGCATTAGGCAAATCCACTGCACAAGACCTTTTAGAAGTGTTGACGAGCAAAGATGTCAGCTTGAGGACTAAGGTGCACCTGACCCAAGCCATGGCATTTTCAATAACCTTATCTGCATGTGAAAGTTGGATAGTGAATAAGGAAGCTTGTAGAAGAATGGATGCATTTGAGTTATGGTGTTGGAGATGAATATTGAAAGTACCATGGACTGCCAAAGGAACAAACAAATCTGTGTTCAAAGAAGTATAGCCAGAGTGCTCCTTGGAGGCCAGGATGGCCAAACTTCATCTTTCATACTTTGGACATATTGTCAGGAGGGACCAGTCAGTGGAGAGGGATATCCATTTGGTAAGGTGGAGGGTCAGAGAAAAAGAGGAAGACCCACAGTGAGATGGATTGGCCAAGTGGCAGCATCAGTGGACTCAAGCATGGCAACACTAGTGAGGTTGGTCCAGGGCCGGGCAGTGTTTCGTTTTGTTGTACATAGGGTTGCTATGAGTTGGTACCAACTCAATGGCACTTAAGAACAACAACAAGTGCCTTTTTTGGAGTTGGGACAAAAAGGAGCTTCAAGGGTTGGGAGGTAGATGCTGTGAATTAGCTGAGGCTCTCTGTCCTCATAGTCATGCCCTTGGGTTAGGAGTGTGTGTGCGTCTGTGCTGCTGCTTGTCCCAGACTGCTTCCCACTTACTGTCTGTGGGCAGGCAATAGTCTGAGTAGGAATCCCAAACTCATGGTTTCATTGAGACACTTCCCAGAGAGACAAGAAACAGTTTTGGCTCAGAGGTCTAACTCAAACTGGTCTGCTTACCTCAGACCATTAACCAGCCCCCTACCCCCCCCACCCGTGCCACTTCATCTCCCATCAACACCCCTATGAAGTGGCATCACGTCATCCTTGAGTCTTCCATCTCCAAGCCCCATCGCAACAGTTGGGCACAGACATAACCCTTTTGGAGGTCTGGATTCTGCTGTGCCTCCTTCGTCCTGGGGTTCTCCTCCCTCACGCCAGAGTGTACTGCCACTTTTAAATACCCTGGTCTCTGGCGAAAGGAGCCCAGGTGGTGCTGTAGGATAAGCACTGAACTGCTAATGCAGAAGTCAACCAGCAGCTCAAAGCCTCCAGCCTTTCTGCTGGAGAAAGATGTGACTTTCTTTTACCATGAAGGTTTACATCCTTGGAAACCCTAGATGCGGTTGTTGTGAGTCCGAATCAAGTTGATGACAGTGAGTTGGGGCCTTGGTGGCAATATTCCTCCTGCTGCTCCTTGAGGCTCAGTGTTGCCCAATGGTAGGCAAGATTATCAAAATGAAATGCCAGTGTTGCCCACCTTGGGTAGAAGGTGGAGGTGAGATGCTAGGAGGCTGGCGATGGGCTAGAAGCATGGGGGCTGGGAGGTGCCTCTAGAACTCCAGAACCCACTTTCCCTTCTCGTAGACTTTTTAGTCAGTGCCCTGTCCCCTTCTCCTGGGAGGAAGAGAAGCTGAAGGAACGTGTAATGATGTGATGTCCCAGCACGCTGGACAGCTGCCCAGCCCAGGGTTCCCACCTCTTTGAGGAGCACAGATGGTGCCAAAATCTCTGGAGCCACCTGCCCAGCACCTTCTTGTTTCCTGTTGTTGTTGTTAAATGCCGTCGAGTTGGTTTTGGTCCACAACGACCCTCTAGAGTGTTTCCAAGGAGCGACTGGTGAACTTGAACCACCAACCTTGCAGTTCACACTGACTTTGCAGTCTAGTGCATTAACCCACAAAGCCACACCAGGACTCCTGTTTCCTGGGCCCTTAGAAATCAGGGATACCACAGCCAAGAAGCAGCCCTGGCAGACAGTGGGAGCTGCCAGAGGTGGGGAGAGAGCCAAGGAACAGAGGGCAGGAGGGCTGGAATGTTCTCTGAGATCTGCCATACCTGAAGCCCAAGTGTTCCTGTCACCTGAGCTACCCCTTCCCTCAGAGGCCTCCCCACCTGCCCACTCCACAGCTCCAGAGCTGGGGAGACCAGGTGAGGCACAGCTCTAGAATGCTGGAGAGCACCCAGCTTGGGCTCTCCCTCTTCCGGAGCAGTCAGATTCCTCTGGGAGACTTCTGCTTGACTAGGAGGCCATGGTGTGTCGGGAAGCAGAGCCAGACTCCTGGCTTCCTGGTCAGTTCTGGCTCTGACCTCTGGCACCCCATGTTGAAGGCTATGTCCAAAAGATTGATGGGAATCTAGAATCACCGTGACTTCTATTTGATTCTGAAATGGTCTAAAGTCCCTGCCAGCCCATCTGTTCTGCTCTCTCTGTGCTCCCAGGCAGGCCTGATGGCAGTACTGACCTTGCCAGGGGAAACCTTCAGCTTTGGCTGTGGGTCAGTGGGGAATCTCGTACCCTGGGCTGCATGTGGGCATCATGAATGGTGTGTTGGAATATAAATATCTATGGCTTGTCCTGAAGGCTGGATTCTGATCTGTCATTCTCTCCCACCCCTTACTATATCCTCAGAAGCATGAGTGTGAGCCGGACCATGGAGGACAGCTGTGAGCTGGACCTGGTGTATGTCACAGAAAGGATCATTGCTGTCTCCTTCTCCAGCACAGCCAATGAGGAGAACTTCCGGAGCAACCTCCGTGAGGTGGCCCAGATGCTCAAGTCCAAACATGGCGGCAACTACCTGGTGAGGGTGGGGCTTCTAGCCCGTTGTCCCTTGTTCCTCTGTCCTTTCATCTGCTTGCCCCCTCTTCACTGCTGGTGTCTCTGCCCACTTGCTCTTGTACTTGTGTTTCCTGGGGCCGCTGTAACAAAAGTACCCGCGTTGAGTGGCTTATAAAGCAGACGTGTGTTGTCTCACAGTTCTGGAGGCCAGGAGTCTGAAATCAGGGTGTCTGTCTCGCTGTCTGTCTCTTCTCCGTCTCACTGTCTTTTTTTATAAGAGCATACATTTAGATTTGGAGTCCTGGTGTGGCGCTGTGGGTTAATGTTCTGGGCTGCAAGGTCATTTGAACCACAAAGTTGGCAGTTCAAGCTCACTGGCCGGTGCTCAGAAACCCTGTATAGGGTTGCTATGGGTTGGAACCAACTCAATGGCACTTAACAACAGCAACAACAACAGTTTCTATTAGGCGTCCTGGTATGACGTTGTGGGTTAATGCACTGAACTGCAAAGTCACCTTGTACCACAAGGTTGGTGTTTAAACTCACCAGCCACTCCTAGGAAGCCCTATACAGGGTTTGCTGTGAGTCGTAACCGACTCAATGACATTTAACAACTTTCATATTGGATTAGTACTCACTGGACTCCCATATGAACTTCTGTAACTGATAGATAACATTTTCAAAGACTATTTTCAAACAAGGGGGGCAGGACTACAGCTTATCTTTTTTTTGGGGGGGGTGGGTGGACAATTCGATATAAAACCCATCCGTTCTTCTTGCTTTGTTAACCTGCCCTTCACATAGGGCAGCTCTTGTGACTCGACACTTCACTCACTCTCCAACCCAACTCTATTACAAGGAGTCTATCTGCAGCTGAAATGTAGCATCTGGAACCCAAGTCGTGTGCATGTGTGTGTTGTTAGATACAGCTGAGTTGGTTGTGATTCATAGTGATCTTATGCACAATGAACAATACACTGCGTGGCCTTGCGCCATCTTCATAATTGTTACAATGTTTGAGCCTACTTTTGTTTCACTCTGTCAATTCATCTTACTTGTTGTTAAGTGCAGTAGAGTCAGTTCCAACCCATAGTGACTCTGTATAGGGTTTCTGAGGGGCGGTTGGTGAGCTTGAACCACTGACCTTGCGTTTCAAACCACATTAACCCACAGCGCCACTCTGTCAGTTCATCTTACTGGGGTCTTTCTTTTATTTCTCTACCCCTCTACTTTAAACAAGCATAATATCCTTCTCCAGGGACGTTATGACAACATTTGCAAAGTAGGGTGGACTAAGTCTCATCATCCTCACATCTGAGGAGCATTCTGGAGAAGAGACTATTACAAGCTCATCTCACTGAGTACACACCATAGCCAGGCCCTGTTTGAAGAGCTTCCTGTGTATTTTACCTTTACAGTGCCCTAGAAAGCAGTTACTTGCGAGAGCACAGAGAGATAGGGCAATCTGCCTGAAGTCACCAGGTCAGGAAGTGGCAGAACTGGCATAGAGTTGATGCCTCTGAGAAGTCTCATGGCAGTAGTTGGGTCACCTCTGGGCTGGTGGTGGTTCCCTCTGCTGTTGGAAAGGCTGACCTGAAGGGTAGGGCCTATCCTGGGCTTCAGAGGAGGACTTGGGTGGTAATGGGGATTGGACGTAGGAATAGATCTGTGCAAGCTTGGGGTGTGTGCCTCAGGGCATCTGAGCAGAGAGGGTTGTAGCACACTGTATTTAGTTTCCTGTGACTGCTATAGCAAATTACCACCGATGTAGTGACTTCAAATAAGAGACGTTCAGTCTTGCAGGCTTACAGAATGTTGCCCTTGGGGTGTTTAAATGATGATATATTCCTGAGTGTTTTTGTGTACATTAAAACAACAACAACAAGAAAAAACAAAACAGAGGGAATAGAAGCAAATACTTTTGAATGGCGATGCATGGAAGAGATTGTAATCATTGCAATGATACAACATACAATAGGATGAGTGCAATACTGATGTTCCCCCATATAAACTATCACTCAATGCACAATAAAAGCTTAAAAAAAAAGAGAGAGAGAAAGAGGCAGCTTCAGTACTTCAATCTCTCCGAGTTCTGCAGGGTAAACGTCTGAGACCCAGGTGTCGGCAGTGCCATACTCCTTTGAAGAAGATCCTTCCTATTCTACGTGTCCTTCTCTTCTTGTAAGAACACTAGTCACTGGGTGTAGGAACCACTGTAAATCCAGCATGAGTTCATCTCAGGAGCCTTTACCAGTTACATCTGTAATGACCCTATTTCTGGAAAAGGTTTCATTCTGAGAATCCAGGGGGACAGGAATTTTTGAGACACTATCTGACTACATTTTGGAGTCCTGGTGTGGTGCTATGGGCTAATGGGTCAGACTACAAAGTCGTTTGAACTACAAGATCGGTGGTTCAAGCTCACCAGCTGCTCCTTGGAAATCCTATACAGGGTCGCTATGGGTCGGAATCGACTTGACGGCACTTAACAACAACAACATCTTACTACAAGGAGCTCTGGTAGCATAGTGGTTACAAATTGGACTGCTAATCTCACAGTCAGAAGTTCGAAACTACCAGCAGTTCTGCGGGAGAAAGATAAGGCTTTCTGTTACCATAAAGATTTACAACCTTGGAAACCCTATACAGGGTCACTGTGAGTCAGAACTGACTCCATAGCACATAACTGCCACCATTTTACTGCATTGTACCTACTTGCCAGTTGTGTTGGGGCATTGGTGTGGCACTGTGGGATAAAGTACTGAACTGCAAATTTGAACCATAGGTTGGCGGTTCAAATTCACCAGTCACTCCTTGGAAACCCTACACAGGGTCCCTATGAGTCAGAACAGACTCGAAGGCACTTAACAACAACAACAACAAACTTCAAACATTAGAAAGTCCTAGGTTCAAATTTGGGTTTACATTTGTTCTTACTAACCAGATAATCTGGGACTCTTAACCTTACTAAGATTATACTCCATCTGTAAAATGCACCGAATCACACTAATTCACATGGTTGCGGTGAGAATTAAGCCGGCTGTTAGATGTAAAATCCTTGGCACTGGGCTGGCAGGTGGTGAGCACCCATTGAACAATGGCACTGTCAGTGTAATAAAGGGTGTTCCTTTTGGGGGTGCATGAGTGGACTAGAGGTATCTAGATTGCTTTCTGCTTTCATGAGTCCATTATCCTGTGGATCTCTTTGCTAGGCCATCGTTCACACGCCCCCATCCTACCTACCCTAGATGCTGCTGTGCTCATGTTTCAGTTTTGTATCCTTTCTTGTCTCCTCCCAGTAGACAGGTCTTTGAGTTTTCTAGGAAGTGAGGCAAGTTTCACCAGGCAACTGTGAGTAGAATTGGGTGGAGGTGAGGAGTTCTGGAGACTTCTTTTGAAAGTAGATACTGGGACATTTCTATAGGGTGAGGATGGGAGATTTCCTGAGAGTGTGATTAGGTATTGTATGGCATCTGATTGGAGTGGGATGTCAAGAGAACCCGTGTAGGATGGCTTGCATTCTCTCAGGGAGGGCGTCTGATCATAGAGAAGTTGTATCTTGTGTGGGGTGAAATGATAAAGGCAACATGTGAGATGGAAATCTGAGCTGGAGAGAATGACTGTCATTTGTCATTAGACCCTGTTCAGTGTGAGGAGATGTACCCCTTGGGGTGCCATGTGGATCCTGAGGAAGGTTCCATCTTATTTTCATCTTCACTTCAGGACATCAGTCACTGAGGGAAAGGTTGACTATATATTTCTCTCTCTACCTTTGTTTTTCCTAGTTGAGTTCTTACAGGGTTAACGTATGTCTTATGGGATGTCATTGTATCTTCATGTATGGATAGAGCTGCTATTGAGTGAGAGAGACAGAGAGATTGGGAGAGAGAGAATGGAGATGGGTCAGCAGTCCGGGTGGTTCAGGTTCCTCACTATGACAAGACCACCATGCTCTGCCTGTCAGTGAGAGGACCCTCAGAGAAAGTTGGAGATGACATCATGGTCACCCAGGGTGTTCCTTGTCATGGTTCTTTCTCTCTCTTCCTTAGCCCTCCCCATCCAAGATCTCTTCCTTTTCCTCCTTCTAGCTTTTTAATCTCTCGGAGCGGCGGCCTGACATCACAAAACTTCACACCAAGGTGAGCTGATGGACGTGTTGGGTGGAGGTGAAGGGAACAACGGTGATTTCCACTGGTGGCAGGGGCATGTTAGAATCTTGGGAGAAGCATGGTGATGGTTTGAAAGGCCTGTTCAAAGTCTAAAAGCCATTGTACATTTGGGAAATGGAAAATAATATATTTATTATTTTCATTATACAAATTTTAGAAAGTCAAACTTTCACATAGAAATTTCCCATCAGGCATGGCCCCCTGGGACCACACACAATCTCTGGGGTGAAGCTGGGTTTGGGAGATTGCTGATTTTACTGAAAAAACGTCCTGGCTTGAAAAAGACTGGGAATGGCTGCTCTAGATGTTTCTACTCCAAGTTCTGGGGAGCACGGTGGCTCTATAAGATAAGCACTTGACTGCAAATCACAAGGTCAGCAGTTCAAACCCACTGGAGGCTTTGAGGGAAAAAGATGAGACTTTTTGCTCCTGCAAAGAATTATAACTTTGGAAACCCCATACAAGGTCGTTATGAGTTGGAAACCACTAGATGGCATAGGGCAGCAACTGCCAGTTCCAGGATTGCTTGTGGTACTGTAGGATAAGTACTGGACTGCAAACTGCAAGGTCAGCAGTTCAAACCCACCAGCCTCTCTGAGGGAGAAAGATGAGGCTTTCTGCTCCCATAAAGATTTACAGCCTTAGAAACCCTATATATGGTTGCTATGAGTTGGAACTGATTTCCCCTTGAGCATCCATTCCTTGGCTGGCCTGACACACTCTCCCTGTCTGTGGGATTAAGGACTGTCAGTGTGTCCAGAGCCTGGACAAGACCACAGCCATCCGAGGGTCTTTGGCGCTTCCTGCTTTCACCCCAAGCCTGGCCTGAGTGTTGTCTGTGGACAGAGAGCGTGAAGGGAAGGCTGCCCCTCCCCCACTTTTTTTCTTAAACTTTTTATTGTGAATTGAGCGAAGGTTTATAGAAAAGATCAACAAATCCTGCACTTTGTTTCATCTCAATGATTGCAATCCCCTCCCTGCAACAACAGTTACCCCACTTCCTCCTCCTGGTTCCTGTTTCCTTTCCACCCCCTTTCCCATCTTTCTCAGCTTTGTCCTTAGGTAAATGTTGCCCTTTTAATCTTGAATGATTGACTATTCCATAGTGAACACATCTTACTAATGTTGTTGTCCCTCTTGTATATCAATCTACTGCTTGACTGAAAATTGAGCCATGAGGGTGAGTTCCTTTTCAGATCTAAAGTGTAACCAGAGGTCATACATAGTCTCAGGTGGCTTCAGTCTCTTTCTGACCAGTAAGCCCGGTCTGTTTTCAGAAATAATTTTGAATTTCATTTCATGTTTTCTCCCACTATATCTGGGACCTAATGTGATCCCTTTCCGAACAGTTGCTAGTAGTAGCTGGGCACCATCTAGCTCTTCTGATCTCAGAGTTGTGGAGACTCATGTTCATATGTTTCATTAGTCCGTTGGACTAATTGATCCCAAGCATCTTCAGTTTTCATTTCTTTTTTTTTTTTCCCCAACCGGGGGGCCAATTAACTTGCCCTTAGATGGCTGCTCATGGGCTGTTAAGATCTGGGGTCCCTTTTGAGGTCAGTGTCAGCTGGAAGGGACTTTGAGGTCATTGACTAAGCCTTTGTTTTATGGGGAAGCGGAGGCTCAGACAAGAGTTGTAACTTGCCTGAGGTTCTGCAGTGAGCCAGTGTCCCAGTGTCTCCATTCGGGGCCAGTAACATACAGGAAAGGAACCAGGGCCTGGTTGCTGCTGCCCATTGCCCCCCATCCTGGCAAATGATGTGTGTACCACTGCTGCTGCCCGGGCTGCCTCTCCAGGCCTCCCGTCCACTTCTCACTCATGGCTTGGAACCCAGGTATTGGAATTTGGCTGGCCGGACCTGCACACCCCCGCCTTGGAGAAGATCTGCAGCGTCTGCAAGGCCATGGACACCTGGCTCAACGCAGACCCCCACAATGTCGTTGTGCTACACAACAAGGTCAGAGCGGGGGCTGCAGTGAGTGTGAGTGTGTGTGTGCTCAGCATGTGAGCATGCCTGAAGGGTCCTTGCACGGGTGAGTCTCTGGACTGCATGATTGTGCAAATCCAACTGTTTGGTCACATTTCTGGAGAGGGGTTGATTCTGTATGAGGGTGTACTCCCAGAAGGGGCTGCATCAGTTAGGGAGTCTGGTAAAGTGGTACATAGTTGTCTGTTTCTTGTCTTTGAGGGCCACCCCACCTTCTTGCTTCCTTAGATTCTCCCTTAGCATCACGCCTGTCTCCAGCCCCTACCCCCTTTCCTCCCAGGCTTCTGTGTGCTTCCTGTAGGGCTGCTCTGGGAAATAAAGGTTTTTGTGTTTGGGGTTCTTTCAGGGAAACCGAGGCAGGATAGGTGTGGTCATCGCGGCTTACATGCACTACAGCAACATTTCTGCCAGGTAAGTGGGGACCTGAGCCTCCATCCCCTGGGCCTGGGCAGCAGGATCCCTGCCCCTCCCATGGCCTCTTCTTTCCTGGGGATGCAGAAACAAGATAGAGGGGATGAGAGAGAGTGAAGATGGGATTTGGCAGCTTCCAGAAGAGACAGGAGCCTGATGGTGGGGGCAGAAGAGAGGAGAGTCCCTTTCTCCATCTCTGATGGAGCAGCTTTTTGAGCAAGCATAGTTGTGGCACCCTATCTAGCTAGCTTCTTAGGGCCACTTTTCCTTGTCAGACTGCCTCTGTTTCCCTGAGTGGACAGGAGGGAGTCAGGAAGAAATGTTGGATCAGATCCAGGGCCAGCAGGGTCACCTTGGTGCTACCTTGCCCATCCCCTTGCCTCTGGTCAACGCAGATCTCTTCCCACCTAAGTATTTTGGAGTAAGAATAGGAAGGAAGCAACTCATGATGAACCCTCACCAATGACATTTTTAAGACAGAAATTCATTCCTTGACTTGTTCAGTCATTCAGGAAAAGCTTACTGAACATTCCCTGTGTCTGGCAGTGTTCTAGGTGAGTGAGAAAAGTCAAGTCGCCTTTCCCATGGACATGAACTAAGAGAAAAAAGGCTGTCAGATGGTCTGTGAATAAGGAGAATAGAGAAAGATAGTAGGAAAAGGGCTTATCTGGTAGTCAGACAGAGACGGCTTCTTAAGGAGGTGGTAGTTGAGCAAAGACCTCAATTAATGGGGTGGGGGTGAACCTCAAAGGCAGAGAGAAAGGAAGGACAAAAGCCAGAGAAGGGACTGACTTATCTGGAGCTGAGGGAAGGAAGAGAAGAGCAGTAGGTGGTGAAACTGGAAGGTAGAGGGGACCTGGGGGTGGGCGTGGTGAATGTGGGGCAGAGCTCATGAGACCTTGATGGCTTGATAAAGGCTTTGGTATTTATTCTGAGTGATGGGAATTCATTGGAAACCAAGAAAGGGGAGCTACTGGATCTAAGTGCTCCATGGGATGGGACAGAGATTCTGTGAAGGCCTCAGCAATAGGATAGTAACTTATGAGTCTAAGAAATCCAACCCAGCTTCATCTGTGCATAATGCTGAACACTTCCTACACACCTACTCTGTGTTTGCTGTTGGTCTCACTTGCTCACCATCGCAGCCTTCGAGCCTCTCCTGTCATGAAGCCTTCATTGCCTTCACTGACAGGAGAGAAAAACTAAGATCATAAAGATTAAGTCACATGCCCAAGACATACAGCTAATCAAAGGTGGACCTGAGGTGGGATCTCAGGCTGTCTGACTCCAAAGCCCACCTGATGGAGACATGCAGCAGCGCTTTTTCTGAAAGCTTCTCAGAGGCTGTCCTCGCATTAGGCACTAGAGGGTGCTCTGTAGGCCTGGAGGAGTAGGGGTGGGTGGGAGACAAAGGGCTCTTGCACATGCATGGGAGTCTTCTCTTCTGACCACTTGTCTCTCCTTGCAGCGCGGACCAGGCTCTGGACCGGTTTGCAATGAAGCGGTTCTACGAGGATAAGATTGTTCCTATTGGTCAACCATCTCAGAGAAGGTGGGTCTTTGGGGCTCGCTGCTCAGTGCACATGTGCGAGTACTTGCTGTATATGAAGACTAGGTTGTGGACCCTCAGGGGAGGGAACAGTGTGTCCCATTGGGGTATACCAAGCATGGATGCTGAGATACCAGCCTGTGGGTATCTGGGTGAGTCCGTGGGCCAGCTGGTGTGCTCAGGAGGTTGGTATGGCACTTATCTTCTGAGGTCCGTGCCAGCAGGATTATCTGGGGGTGGGGGATAGGGGGGAACATTGGTGGCTTGTATAAGAAGACACATACTGTCCTTGACCCTGGCAGCAGGGTTGCTCTGTGCTTGGATAAGCCTTTAGCAGACTGACATCATGGCCACCTGCTCTCAGGAGGTCACAGAGCCCGTGATAAGGTTTACCTAATGTTGTGAGAGTTTTATCAAAGCCGCTCAACCACATGGTTTCACTGGAGTCTCACAATAGCCCAGGCAGGACGTGGGGTGGGGCAGTGATGGGTTGATGGATATATTCTTTCATTTGTTTGACAAATTTTAGCTTCCTACTAGGTTCCAGGGTACTCCTTGTGTGGCTCTGTAGGATCATTACTGGACTGCGAACCACACGGTTAGCAGTTCAAACCCACCAACTGCTCCTTGGAAACCCTGTACAAAGTCGCTATGAGTTGGAACTGACTTAACGGTGCATAGAAAACAACAACTGTGTTCTAAGAGCCCTGGTGTGGTGCAGTCGGATGAGCTGATGGATATACCCTTTCATTCGTTTGACAAATTTGAGCTTCCTACTATGTTCCAATGGAGTCCTGGTGTGGTGCTGTGGGTTAATATTCCAGACTGTAAGGCCATTTGAACCGCAAGGTCAGTGGTTCAAGCTCACCAGCTGCTCCTCGAAAACTCTACACAGGGTCGCTATGATTTGGAACCAACTCTACAGCATTTAACAACAGCAAACAACAGTTATGTTCCAGGGGATGTTGTAGGATCAGCACTGAACTGTGAACCACATGGTCAGCAGTTCAAATCCACCAGCCACTATGCAGGGTCTCTAAGAGTCAGAACCGACTCAATGGCACTTAACAACAACTGTGTTCCAATCACAAAAGGGATCTGGGTGAATAGGACAAAGTCCTTGCCCTCATTGAGCTATATGCTGTTGAAAGATGTTGTTGTTGTTGTCAAGTGCCATCGAGTCGCTTCTAACCCATGACTACCCTGTATAGGGTTTCCAAGGAGCAGCTGGTGAGCTTGAACTGCCAACCTTGTGGTTCAAGCCAATTTTGCAGTCCAGCGCATTAACCCACAGTGCCACACAGAAAGATGAGACGACCATTAAATGAGTAAATATACAAGCAAGACAAGTTCAGAGAGCAGGAAGTGCTGTGAAGGAAAGGATATGGCATACTGCAGAACCAAGCATGGTGTAGCAAAAGAGGCACTGCTTAATGGGGGTGATCTGGGTGCCTCTCAGAGGAGGTGAGATGGAGCCCACAGCTGAATAATGATGTGTTACGTATGAAGATGCATGGCATCCTGATTTACAGATGAGAAACTAGTGCCTCGGGAGGGGATGTGGCACTGCCGTGGTCTCTAGCAAGTGGAATTAATCTGAAGGTTTTGTAAGTCTGGTGCCCAGGCTCTGCCTTCGGAATTCTACTGAGTGACACGTTCCTAATCCACAGAAAGTAAGGGGTTAGGACCAGGGCCAGATTGTCCTTGGGGATACTGGGTATGAATGAGAGCCAGCGTGGTGGTAAGTGAACCTCAAGTTAGAGATCTGGGGACTAGACTGAAATGGAGTGATGGACTCAAGGACGAAGAAGTGGGAGAAGGTGAATGAGGTGAGATCTGAGACGGCATCACAGTGAAGATCTGAGATGAAGGGTCCAGGCTGAGGGCACAGCAAGTGCACAGGTCTGTCGGCCGCAAGTGGCCCCATTTCCTCATCCAGCAGCAGCAGTAACACCTGCATAGCTGTGAACACCCAAACACTGACAGGGCAGGCAGGACTCCATGGCCACAGAGCCCAAAAGCTTCCCAGCCTCTCTATGCTTAGGGCTCCCAACACACACCCATTCCTTCCCATTCTAGTTGGCTGGCTAGCAGTGTGCTGGCCCAGCTACCAGCTTCTGCCATTGTAGAGGGAAGGAGGCCCAAGAAAATCTAATGTTACAAGTCAGGTTGCTAACCTCAAGGTCAGTAGTTCGAAACTACCAGCTGTTCCACAGGAGAAAGGTGAGGATTTCTGCTCCTGTAAAGATTTACAGTCTCAGAAACCCTATGTAGGGTCTCTGTGAGTCGGAACTGACTCCACAGCACACCACCACCACCATTAGGCAATCTGACATGTTATAATTGGTACAAGCCATCTGATAATCAGTCCCTGGGTCAGCAATTGAGAATTGATGTATTTATATGCATAGAATTCTGGGGAGGTTCCAGAACACAGCTCTGTGGATCAATGTATTTCCTCTCTGGGTCCTCCCACTTCACTTGTGGCTCATAAAGTGAGACTAGAATGAAACCAAATCTGTAAAATGTCGGTGTATTAGAACAATAATCAGAAGGGGGAAAATTACAGATCAGCTCCTTGTTAGAAAGCCAGGACAGTGTGCACATTGCATAGCAACATCATCTTCTGGTTGGCAGAATGGGAAAGAGTGATGCCCAGCTAACAGAGGGTGGTTGACCATGCCGCTTGGAATGTATATGGTTTTCTGGAAATAATTCAATCTCCTGCAGCAGTCTCCTATTACGACTCACTACATCTCTGTTGAGTGTCCCATTCCAAGACTTTGTTCCTTAATTAGCCTCCTTTGGTGTACTTGCATTTTATAAATTTGGGTCTGTTCTGATTTTGCTGCACTGGCTATGACTGAGCTGACTCAAACCAGTTTGAACTCATTTGAAGCTCTGATTTTTCCAGGAGAGAAGTCTTAGGGAGGAAAGAACTAGTGATTGAGTACTGGCTTGCCACGTATAACTGGTGGTCTTGGGTATGGCCGTGACTCTTGACCTTAAAGAGAAGTGATACAGGTAGAGAAACATTCTGTTTGCTTGAAGAGAGTGGGCAGTGCATATCATCTTTGGAGTTTTAAAAGTATGGAATGGGGGGCTCAGGGCTGTCTCTTGGGAATGGCACTATATTCAATGTGTGCTTACATAACGTGCATTTGGTGTGTGTGTTTACATGATCTGTGTTGACATTGGAGCACCTATCTACAACTGCATCTCCTGTGGGTATGTAATTGTGTCTGTGCCCAAACGTGAAAGTGTAACTATTGGGTTTGTTATGCATTCGGGGCACTGCCCGGCCTTCTTGTCTGTGTTACTTGCAAGAGATGGAGCAATTGGAGGAGAGGAGAAGGGAGGGGCTTTGCCTACAGCACCACCATTCATGTCACCCCACCCCTGGACTCATTGTCCCCAGCTCACAGACACATCCTGTTGGCACAATCAAGGGATCTGATAGGAATCCTGCCATTCCAGGTTTCCGGTTTGAGAACCGGGCCTGGGGGCTGGACAAGGGCCTGAATAGGGCCTGGCGGTGCCCATCAGATTATCTCACTTGGGTAGTCCAGGGTGGCCCCACCCAGGCCCAGGAACAGAGGAGTACAGGCCTGGAGGTGGGCCGAAGAGCTGACAGATAGGAAGGGACATTGTCATGGTCATGTGTGGACTACAGTCCCGCCTACCTCAAAGAGTTCCTGTTGGCCCCTGCAGAGTCTTGGGATGCATTCTGATTGGTCTGGTTGAACTAACTTGGCATCTGTAGCTAGTCATCAAAGGAGGAAGGGCCAGTCAACCAATAGCAAAGAACCAACCACTGTCTAGTCCCCGCCGATGCATTAGAGTTCTAGACTCATGTCCTCCCTTCCCACGCACTCCCAACTTCTCATGTTCTGACTCTGAGTCTTTGGGTGGCCAACACTATTTTTGGACCTAGTTGTCTCTCTTTCTCAGATTGGAGGTGGATTAATCCTTGAATTCTTCCAACAGGATCTTTGTTCAAAGAATTGGGGGATGTTGGCCCGTGAGAGGGAAATACGGATCGGAAGTTATCTTCAAATATCAAATGAAATAATCTATAGAGGGGGACTTCATTCAGTTTAAAGTGATATGAGCAAATTTAAGATTATAATTACTGAGCTCATAATCACTATTTGCAGGATTTTCATATGGCTGGTGGTTTATGGTTTGGGGATCTTCTGAGACTGAACCCCAGAGCCTGTGGTGTATGAGTAACTAAAGTAGGTTTGGACTTGGTAGAAGGGTGTTAGAGGTGTTGGATGGTTGATCGACCTGCAACTGTTATGTGCCATTGAGTCGGTTCCAATTCGTTGCCACTCTATGTACAACAGAAGGAAACACTGCTTGGTCCTGCCCCATCCTCACAACTGTTGTCCTGTTTGAGTCCATTGTTGCTGCCACTTTGTCAAGCCATCTTGTTGGGGGTCTTCCTCTTTTTTGCTTACCCTCCATTTTATCAAGCATGATGTCCGTCTGTAGGGACTGGTGTCTCCTGATGACATATCTAAGCATGAGAAACAAAGTCTCATCATCCTGACTTCTAAGGAATATTCTGGATGCACTTCTTCCAAGATAGATTTGCTTGTGTTTCTTGCAGTCCATGGTACTTTCAATATTCTTCTCCAACACCATAAGTCAAATGCATCGATTCTTCGATGGTCTTCCTTATTCGTTATCCAACTTTCACATGTGTATGAGGCAATTTAAATGCATACGAGGCAATTGAAAATACTATGGCTTGTATAGTAATGAGCAGCTAAATGATGCTGTCAGGAATGTGTGGAAGGTATTTTGTCCACTGTGAGTGAGCTTCTTGGGCTGAGTGATGCTGCAAAATGATGTGCACATTGACCACTAGGGGGCACTGGAGGACTCCAGGAGTGATTTTTGACTTGACCTGATTCCAGGTTTAGAAGTCCCTGCTAGCTCTCTCTACCGGTGGCTCCAAGTGGCCTGGATAGACAAGGTCCCCTAGCTGTTGACTTTTTCCAGAGAATGAATCAGAGCATGTCGGAACTGATAGAGATGCCTTAAGCTAACTTAGATCTCCAGTTCCGTAGCCTTTTGTTCTATCCCTTAGACAAAATTTCTGTTTACAAGCTTGAGAGATTCTGCCAGATTTTCATTCCAACTCTTGTCCTTATGATTCTGACTAGTTTGTTCAAACCCTAACATTGAGAATGAGGAAGGATTAACACCAGTTACTGTGGACTTGGTTCTGACTCATGGTAACCCCACACGTGGCAGAGTAGAGCTATGCTCCATAGAGTTTTCAGTAGCTGACGTTTCAATGGGTGAGCATCAGACATTTTTCCTGAAACACCTCTGTATATACTCAAACCCCCAGCTTGTTGGTTAGCAGCCTAGGGTGTCAACCATTTGCTTCACCCAGGACTCTGAGGAAGGATGGATGGGTAAATCCCTAGCCCTTAGAGACCCAGCGCTGACATTTTGGTCTTGTCAACTCCTTTTCCAGGAGCAGAACCATACCTGCTCTCTTTTCTCCAAGAGCATTGCCCTGGATCACCCCACCTGTCCCCAAAGTCTCAGGGTGCTGGAGTCTCAGCCCCAGCCCAAGCCTCCCTCCCTCAAGCTGCCCCTCCCCCTGCTGTAGGTATGTGCATTACTTCAGCGGCCTCCTCTCCGGCTCCATCAAAATGAACAACAAGCCCTTGTTTCTGCACCACGTGATCATGCACGGCATCCCCAACTTCGAGTCTAAAGGAGGTACCTGCATGAGCCCTCTGGCTTTCCTCCCCATCTGCCTCCTTCCAACTCCTTCTCTTCAAAAATCGCTTTGGGTGACAGAAGCTAGTTTGCTGCAGAGCCCTGAGGCTTGGACTGATGTCTCAAAGACTTCAAAGACTGAGCTTGATTTGAGCCCCAGTCTATTCATTTGTGAAGTGGGTTTGTTATTTGCAGCAGCTGCTGGCAGATCCCCTTGGGATGTGGCACTGTTCTCTAAACTAAGATGCTTACAAACAGAAAGTTAGCATGCCTTCCCCTTTCTCTTCCCCTTGCTACCTTCCTCTTTTCCTGCATCCCTTTCCTGCTCCTCCTTCCTCCATTCCTTTCTTTCTATTTTCTCTTCCCGTTCTCTCTCCTCTTCCCTTTCTGTCTCCCAGTTTCCCCTTAGATAATGCCTATCCCTCCCTTACAGGGTGTCGGCCCTTTCTCCGGATCTACCAGGCCATGCAACCTGTTTACACATCTGGCATCTAGTAGGTATTCCATGGGCACAGAGGCCAGGGATGCCCAAAACCTCAGGCTGAGGACCAGTGGGATGGTGGTGCCTAGAAGTTGGCATCAGCTGAACTCTTCGTCCAAAGGGAGTTGAAGGGATGAAGTCTGTGACGATTCCCAGTCGGCTGTCTGGGAGAGGGGCAGCAGGGAGCAAATGGGCTCTCCACTCCCATTTTCAGTGGCCTCTCCCTCTGCCCACCTTTCTCCCCAGCAATGTCCAAGGAGACAGTCAGACCAGCATCTGCATCACCATCGAACCCGGACTGCTCTTAAAGGGAGACATCTTGGTGAGTGCCATCTTTCTGACTCAGACCCCACCTTTGTTTTTTTTTTCTCCTTTCTTTTCTCTTCCTGACCCTTTCTTGCCCCTCCAGACAGCTTGGTGGGCTCCTGACCTTGAAGTGGTAGGCTCTTTAGTCTCCTTCAAGGCATCCCAGCCTCGATCAATCCATTGTCCATTCCCTTGTCTCTGAATTGGACATCTTTCTTATGGGTTTGTCTCTACTTCTGAAACATCTCCCAGAAGCTCTTTCTCAGTGTGAGCTGGTTACCTCCTGACTTCTTATTGGTGACAAGGACTCCCTCATTTCTAACAGCAGTCCTTCCGGATGCAATTTAAATCCACTCTGACTTTTCTCATTCTAGAAAGTTCTGTGTGCAGGAATTTCCTGGGAGGACAGGGCAAGACTAGCCTCTAATTCTCTGCTGTTTTAGCAGATCCTACTTGGTGTTGATGAGCTTTACTCACTGGGTTTGGAGTGAGCCTGGGTGCCCAATCAGGGGAGCTGAGAAACGCGACCTCCAGCCTGGGAGCTGGAGTTCCCACCCTCAGGCCTCTGACTGGTTCTCTTCCCCTTTCCATTCAGTTGAAGTGTTACCACAAGAAGTTCCGGAGCCCAGCGCGTGATGTTATCTTCCGTGTGCAGTTCCACACCTGTGCCATCCATGACCTTGGCATTGTCTTTGGGAAGGAGGACCTTGATGATGCCTTCAAAGGTGGGCTCTTTGGTTGGGGCCAGTGCCAGGGGCTCGTGTGTCAGGGAGGGGAGTCCAGCTGGAGGAGATCTATTGGACATGGGGACCATCTTGAATGGGCCTCATAACCTGCCGAGTCCCAGGCCATTCTTGGTGACAGTGGGAAGGGGTGTTTCAGACTGGAATGGTTTGGGAATTCAGGCTGTCAGTAGAAGTGGAGATCAGGATGATGCCAGTCTTCCTCCCAATATTTTTACTGTTTTATCTTTTGGAACCTCTTCTTACCACTTTCCCTGTATTTCCTTCATGTTACTCTCCTAAGTTGTCACATGTGTCCTGTTGACAAATAGTTTTTCAATATTCATTGTTATTTACTTTGTGCCAAGCATCGTCTAAATGCTGGGATTTCAATAAAAAAAACTGGTCTCTGCTTTGGTGAATCTCAGAAGCCTTGTAGAGTGGGGAGGCAGATCTAGGAAGATCTATTTATCCCACGGCATAATGAGAACAATAATGAAGGTGTTGTACACAGACCGTGAAGTGATGGCTAGTAACTGAAAAATTGGTGGTTTGAATCCACCCAGAAGTACCTTGGAATAAAGGACTGGCAGTCCACTTCTGAAAGGTCAGAGCCATTGGACGCCCCATGGAGCAGTCCTACTCTGACAAACATGGGGCGCCATGAATTTGAATGGGCTCAACAACAGCAGATTGCTTGGTGGTGACAACAGTGAGGGTAGATCCATTTTCCATGGTAAGAGGGAGGCAGTCAGGGAAGGTTTGGTCTCTATTTTTGCTGCTGCTTCTATCCATTTGAGGTTTTAGCTCTATCACACCCAGGCCCAGGGGATAACTGTATCCATTCAACAAGCATGCCATGGCTGTCTATGTGTGCCTGGTGTGCGCCTGCCCCTGAAGATACAGAGAGAAAGGCGTCAGGATCTGCCTTCAGGGAGCTCACAGTCTTTTGGGAGGGAGTTCCACACAATCTGATTCTGTGATGATGGTGGAGACACACACTGGCACTATGGTGCTCCAAGGAGGGGCTGCCCATCCTTGCTGTGTCTGCTCTTCTGTAGTCAGCGGTGGCCTCTGTCCAGGTGGGGCTCGGAGTGGGGTTCTGGCTCACTCAGGAGGAGACCTCTGTGATGTACCTTCCCTGCACTGGAGCCAGGAGGGAAAGGCAAGAAATGCTGTTACTTACAGAGCAGAATGTAAATGGAATCCACCTTAATGAGGGAAAGTGGAAGTAAAGCTGAGAAAATATAGGTGGTGTTGGGAACAGGTGGAGGGAAGGAAAGGGAACAAATTTCCTCCTCTTACATGATGGGAATCAGGAGACACCATTGGCAATGGACAGATCTAGCAATAGAAGGTTAGCTGCAGTGTTTAAAGTCTCAATGACAATCAAGAGAATGATAAATAATAATGTTCTGAAGTGCTGTCGAGTTGATTCCGACTCATAGCAACACTATATAGGGTTTTCGAGTAGCAGCGGGTGAGTTTGAACCGCTGATGTTGCTGTTCAAACTGCTTTGCAGTTTGGCGCATTAACCCACAGTGCCACACCAGGACTCTGATAAATAATAATAGTCGTAGTAATATTAAAATGAATAAGATTTCAGAAGAAGGGAACAGAAGTAATGTTGTTGTTAAGTGCCGTCAAGTTGGTCCCAACCCATAGCAATCCTGTATAGGGTTTCCAAGGAGTGATGGTGAACTTGAACTGCTGACCTTGCATTTCAAACCAGCCTTGCAATTCAGCATATTAACACTGCCACCCCAGGATTCCAGAAATAGTATAAGTGATCCAAATCATTTGTCTTTCTAGTGGTAAATCAGTAGAGAGTATTTGAAATGAATATACCTAGAAATAATGGCAGAGAGCTATAATTTATATAGTCTTACAGGAGATGACTTGTTGTTGTTGTTGTTACTAAAACCTTGGAGTTAGTTCCAACTCATAATGGCCCTGTATAGGGTTTCCAAGAAGCAGCTGATGGGTTTGAACCACTGACCTTCTGCTTAGCAGTTCAATGCCAATCATACAGCGCCTTCAGGAGTCCCCACTGGTAGGACAAAAAGTAGAAATGGCTGTGAGTGGTTACCTCAGGCAAGTAGGGTTAGAGCAAGAGTGACCAGAATATGTACTAAAAATATTATGAATAAGACCATTTGTCTACGTCCTGCTGTGGTTCTGTAGGATAAGCACAGGACTGCTAGCCACAAGGTTGGCCCTTCAAACCCACCAGCTGCTCTTTGGAAATCTTAAACAGGGTCGCTATGAGTTGGAACCGACTACACAACACTTAACAACAGCAACAACAACATCTGTTTCTTATATTATTAATCATGTATACCTGTATTGGGGTCCTGGATGGCACACATAGTGTGCTTTTGTCTATTAACCTAAAAACTGGTTGTTCAAACCTACCCAGGGGTGCCGAAGAAGAGAGGCCTGAAAAGCTACTTCTATAAAGATACCTGTTGTTGTTAAGTGCCGTCAAGTAGGTTCCGACTCATAGCCACCCTGTATAGGGTTTCCAAGGAACAGTTGGTGAGTTTGAACTGCTGACCTTGCAGTCCAGTGCATTATCCTGCAGCGCCACACCAGATTACAAGAAAACCTATAGCACAGTTCTACTCTGTAACACATGGGGTTGCCGTGAGTTGGAACTGATTTGATGGCAACATAGAGTACTTTAATTTTTTTCTCCAGAAGAAAAGCCTCTATGAAGTATTATTTAGGAATTAATTGCCCATTTTTGTTTTTCCTCTTTTTCCAGATGATCGATTTCCAGAATATGGCAAAGTGGAGTTTGTATTTTCTTATGGGCCAGAGAAAATTCAAGGTAAAGGCCAAGTTAGAACCTGTCATCCTGTCCTCTCTCCTCTGTCCTGAACTATCCCTCTCCCAATCCTACCATCATCTCACTGGCTTCCTCTAAACTTATCAAGTGACTGAGATGCAGGCCAGCAGGAAAGGGTCTGTGTATCAGAGTGGACCCCCAGCTAAACAAGAACCTGCCACGTAATCTCTGGATAATAAAAATAAAAAAACAGACAGAGAGGCGCTGGGCTGGATAAACTGTCTTGGTCCCATTAGGTCATCATTCCGTTATATTCAGAGACTGGCGGCCATGGTGACTGGAGGGTGTGGTGACGGGCATACTCACAGGTGTTGGAGGGACGATGAGTATTTATGACTACTGAGGTGATTCAACCTGAAGACAAGAAGGCCAGTTTAAGAATAGTCTTTAAGCTTGTAGACTGTTAAATGTGGAGACCAGTTGTTTCCCATCTTACTTGAGCACAGAATGGGAAGAGATGCAGTTAGGTTATATATAGGCAGAGGGACTCTGGATCGTAAAGAGAGGACTGCCAAGTCAGGACAGTCATTCACCTTGGAAGGCCCGGCTTGCGCTGTCTTCAGTCTTGGGACTTTCCCTGTGTGGGTAGGAGGGACTCCACCTTTTCTTTCAGATATCTGACCAGAGTGGAGGGTGTTTCAAATGAGGGCCAGGGGGCTGGCTAGGATGGCCTTCTAGAGACCTTGTGTCCTCTCAAAGTCAAGGCTGAGGCTTCGCTGCTGTCCCTGACCCCATGCAAGCCTCTTCTTTGACTCCAGCAGCAGACTGTAGGATCCCTTGGCACTGAACCAGGGGCCCCAGGAGACTGAAGAGAAAGAGGCGGCTACCTAGCCTGAGGGTCCTCACAGCTTTCTCACAGGGCCTCTCTTCCTCAGTGCCACAGTCCTGACTGACCCCATGACCTGGTGTGAGCCTTTTCAGGAATGCAAGAAACTATACTCCTGGGTTCTCCTTCCAACATAAGCCACTGGTTTTCCACGCCCCCTCCAGACACTCCCCACCATGCTCATGAAAATGGGGAGTCCCTGAGGAGCATCCTTGGAGGAGGTGGTCGACTTCCAGCTGCTGATGTCCTTTCCCTTTTCACTGACCACCCCCCCCCCCCTTGTCTCCCTTCCTACTCAGGTATGGAACACCTGGAGAACGGACCAAGTGTGTCCGTGGACTACAACACCTCTGACCCCCTCATCCGCTGGGACTCCTACGACAACTTCAGTGGGCATCGAGAAGATGGCATGGAGGGTAGGTGGGGACTAGTGACTTGAGGGGAGGCAGAGGTGGGAAGCCCAGAGGGGACAAAGAGAGATGTCCAGGCACTTCTGAGAACTCATCGTTCAGTCAGGGAGTGCAAGACTACTATGTCTGACTTCCTCTGGCTTCACAAGGGGACAGGAAAATCAAACTCAAATTCAGCTCCAGGTCACTTCCTGTGACATTTCAGCCTTCTTCACCCTCTTCTGACACCAGCTGTCCCTCCCACTGCACTCTTGGCTTCACATCTGAGTTTGATCATCTGTTGCAATGGCCACACAGAACTCATAGACAATACTCATGGTTAGGAAGTGAGCAGGGAACAGTTCAGGATCAGAAACCACTCAGAAAGCAGCAGTTCACCAGTCACGAGTACCTTTTCCCTGTAGTACTACGGCACGCATTGCTCCTGTCTTTGGCCTCTCAGCCATGTGGTCTCTTGGCCTCTGCCTGCTTGGACAAGTGTTACAAAGCTCCTTTAGTCCTTTTGTTTCTGCCCAAAGGGCACATTTTTCAAGCTGGTGTCCTGTCTTAGGCACTCAGCTGTGCTCAGTCCATGGGCTGGGAAGTCTGGCCTGAGCTGCTCTGTCTCTCCAGACCCCCATCTCTGCTCCCAGTGCTTTTCCAGGTTGGGATCTTGTACTCTGCAGAGAACTCTCCTTTTTGATGGTTCTGGGATCATCTGTTACTGCTTCTGAGATGACTTCTTTTAAACCTAGTGGGATGACAAAGCTAATCAGTCCTGATGTTAGAGTCCTGTACACCCTGTTTGCCTGCTCCCATGCTGGTGTGGCACTGGCGCTGTAGGGTAAGCACTCGACTGGTAACCATAAGGTTGGCAGTTCACATCCAACAACCATACTCAAAAACCCTATACAGGGTCCACTATAACCTTGAACTGATTGGGCAACACTTAACAACAACCCAATCATTTGGTGGGAGTTAAGAAAACTTTGGATAGAAAAGCCATATCAAATAAATTCATGGTTGCTGTTGTTATGTGTTGTTGTTCCGACCCATAGCGACCCTGTACAGGGTTTCCAAGGCTGTAAATCTTTACGGGAGCAGAAAGCCTCATTTTTCTCCCACAGAACAGCTGGTAGTTTCGAATTGCTGACCTTGAGGTTTGCAGCCTGATTTGTAACCGCTACACTACCAGAGCTCCTTAAATTCATGGTATCACAGGGAAACTAAGGCAGAATGTGCCAATATGTTTAATAATCAGGGCAGAGTTAGGAATGCAGTCACACAGCTAACAGGGCGTCAAGAGAGCGTACCATCAGTTCCACAGACACTGGGTACTCTGAGATCCTCAGGGAAAGATTCCTGAGAGCTTAAGTAGCTCAGAGAGCTCCTAGGAAGAGGTGGTCTTGAGTGCAGCTTGCAAGATTTTACTGGTTTCAGAGATACCCCCGTGCTGCCAGTTTGATTTTGTTTGTTCGATTTCTTGTAGACCTGTAGTTGGAATTCCCAGGCTAGCTGCCTGAATTTGCTGGGATCAGAGCATTAGGAATGTAGACAGCAGCTAGGGCCTGCAGCCTTTCAACAACCCATGTAAATGTCTGAGTGCTGAAGACAAGCCGAAGGACTTCCAAATTTGAAAAGAAATCTGCATAATTCTGTTTCCTTTAGCTGTGACACCTAACGTATGTCAAATGGTTGACTGCAACTCAGCTCAGCCATTGAGAGGTGTTTGAGCTCTGTTTATTTGTGTGGTTCATTTCAGTGTGTGTACTGGGATATGGGGTGGGGCACTGGAAGATCCTTAGACACGCCTGTCTGGGATTTGAACTTAAGCTTATTTTCTGATGGAGTCATAGGACCGCTGCAGCATGTTAGAGCTGGGTGCGGTCTTGGTGCACCCTGTCTGTTCTCCATCCATTTTCAGTTGGGGAAACAGAGATGGCAGAAGGAATGATCTTTTGGTTTACCCCACCACCCAGGATGGTGAATACCAGAAGCCTATCTCTGGGCTTCTCCTTTCAGCTGAAGCCAGTCCTGGGGTGGAGCTGCATCTCCCTGGGACCCTTGGCCACAGGCAGAGTTGGGTCAGAAAGAACCCGGTGTTCTTTCCCCAATGCTATGTTGTCTCTGGTCTCCCTCCCCAATGCGTTGGACTTATCCACTCCATTGTGAGTCTTTTCTTGAGTAAAGTTGTTGCCTTTGGCCTTGACCTTGACCTTATTGTTAAGTGCCATCAACCCTGTACTGGGTTTCTGAGGAGTGACTGGTGAGCTTGAACTACCAACCTTGAAGTTCAAAGCAACTTTGCAGTCCAGCGCACTAACCCACAGTGCCGCACTAGGACTCCAATCTTGACCTTGGAGATAACAGAATGAAAAGTGGATTTCAGAGAGAGGTGAAAGTAGATGCAAAGGCTAGACTAGCACTTAAGGACTTGGTGAGCGGGATATCTTTCTATGTACCCTTGAAAAACTGATGGTTTGTCTACTTTACCCTGCCCCCAGCCCTATTTCTGGGGTCATCTTCTCTTGCAGGGCCCAGTGCCCTCAGAAAGCCAGAGATGCCCCACCAGACTTTCCCTGCCACCCCCCACCCTCACCCCCTTGTGCTGAGTGGCTTAGGGGAAAGCAGCTATGAAATGATTAATTCTGAGGTACCGATGGCTGCCAGCCCAATTGTTCATCATCCTGGGATGTTTGCATTTTTAACAAGAACACTAGGCAATTTGAAAGAATTTTCAATATCTCCCCATCTCTTCCTGGTGCAGATTCAGTGTGATGAAAAATGTAAAAACATTGAGTAAATTATAAAGTGCCAAGTACATAAAGATAAAATATTGAAGGGCAAAGAAGAACTGGATATGGGAACAATGGGGCTTGGGGCAGAGTCAGCCGTGAGGGGAGAAAAGAGAGCAGGTCTCAGCTGAACAAGAGACAGAGGGCCCAGCCAAGGAAGGACCTGTGTGTGAGGGCCCACCCTTGTCTTCTCTGCTTGCCTCTGACCCACTCCCCCAGGCAGGGGATGGAGTTGCAGAGACCTTTTGGCCAGTTAAGGGTCAGCTCATCCTGCAGGGACAGAGGGACTGCTGTGTGGAGGCTGAGAGGCTGTCCTTATTTCTAGAGAGGGGCAGGGAGGCAGGAGACAGCTCCTGTCCCTGCTCTCTGCTTCCCTGGTTTGGCCTGACTGGACTGTGCCTGTGCCTACGCCCAGGATCCCAGCAGCTGGCCAGTTCCCAAGAGACCCTACCTCTGCCCGCTGTGAGCTCCCTGAAGGGCCAACCCCTGGCAGGAGGCCTTGGTGAATAGGGCAGGAGCAGGGACCATTAACCCTAATCTGTCTCTCCTCCTAGCTGGGGGATTCCTGGAGGGTCCTTAATTCTAGAGGCCAGAAATAAAAGTATTTTCCTCTGTAAACTGCAAGGTTGGGGTCATGCTGTAGCACTGCAGGGTAAGGACTGAACTGGTAACTGCAAGGTTGGTGGTTCAAATCCACTAGCCGTTCCATGGAAACTTTATACAGGGTCGCTATCAGTTGGAACATACTTGAAGGTACTTTGCAACAACAACCCAAGGTTGGTGGTTCAAGTCCATATGCATGAGGTGTGGCGCTGTAGGATAAGCACTGGACTGTAAGGTCGGCATTTCAAACTCCCCAGTTGTTCCTCAGAAATCTTTATTGTGAAGTGAGTACAGGGCAGATCGTCAGTTTTGTATTCAACAAATCACATACTTCGTTTCATTACAATGATTATAATCCCCCCCATGTACCATCAGTTAACAGTATTTCTCTCTATTCATTTTAGATTTTTAAAAAAACACTCATGCATATGTAATAATTTACACCACTAAATGGAACATTCTGCAAGTCTGCCTCCTGACCGCCAGCTCTCAGTCCCTCTCTTTCCATGAATCTAGAGTCCTCAGATGCTCCCTCTCTCCATGTTCCCATCTGTGCCTCCATCTCTGGTGTAGCTGTTTCTCTGGATGTGGTCTCGCATTCTGCTTATGATTTTTTCCCTTGATGGTCTTAGGGTCCTCTGTTTCTGGACTGTAAGATTAACGACTCCCCTGTTTTTGTTACAAAACTTCTACCTTTACAATTGTGACAGTCGCAATTAGTTATGATAACAATTACTCACTATTAAATCATAAGAATCTTATCCCCTTTTTTTTTTTTTTTTTTTTTTAACCAGGCCCATCTAGACAAGATGAAAACGATTCAGTGGGGACTCTATCTTCCCACACACACTCTTAAACTAAACTCCCTCTTGAAACCTTGTAAGCCAGTAACTTTGTGCCTTTATCGTCCCTTCGTTTTGGGTAGCCAGTGTCTATGTTGCCCGTCCCTATCTACCCTGTGTACAGAGGGGATACCATTGATACTTGATGTGAAGACTCCTTCCCTTTTTATTGGTATTTAGAGCTACTACCTCCATGAGTATAGGTTATATTCATCAAATTGTAGCAATTTACCCTTGTTTCCTTTATCAAAAATTGTTATTTTTTTTTTTTAAATTATTTTTATCATCCTCTAGTTGAGTTCTGATTATCAAGCCATTGAGGATAGGTCAAATGGGTACTATCTGCAAATTTGGGTGTTCTTGTGTGTCTCCCCTCACTTCATATCAGCTGGATGCTTCACTCTAAGCTCTAGCCCTCTTTGTCTATGTCCTTGTCCATGGGCTCAGGTGTCCCCAGGTCTCACCACACTTTGGACCAACCAGCCCTTCCTCTTCTCGCTCTCATCCCCAGGTCAACGGGATTCTATAGAACATGATTGAACTCAGCCCATTTCTTAATTTCTGCCTCTCTCCCTCTTCGATTCAACAGTAGACCAATGTGGTCACCAGCAAGCTTACATGCCAGCTCACATATTCCCTTTGAGTTTTAGTCTCAGAGTGGGGTTTGTCCTAAAGGGACTTGATTGCTTGCCTTGATGGCTTCCTGGTGAACAACTTGCTTATTCTTGTAGTAAGTAGCCAGTCATACTGCCATTTTTTTGTTTTTTTCCTGATGATCTTTCTTTGA